TGCAGGCTGGAGCTCTGTCAGGGGTTTTAGTATCAAGATTCTAGTTCTCACGCGACTTGCTAGAGGAGCAGGAAGTATCTTTTTACGGGGAAGGCTGGCCAGGGAGGGAAGGTACCCAGTGGAGGTGTACAGCCAGGGTAGGGGGGACGGGCTGTCCTTGGGATAGAGAAGGGTTGAGTCCTGGCCCTTTAAACTTGAGGGGGAGGATCCGGAAGTGGATGGGCGGGGCAAATGCCCTGCTATAAAAGAGGGCCCCAGCCGCGCGGAGTCTCTAATCTGCCATTTTCTGTCCCTCGATAAGTCTTTGGCGTCCTATATTCTTTCTGTTTTCCACACAGGCTCTGTTCTCCTACTTGCTTACCACTTAACGGGAACGATGGCCACAGAGTCCACAGCCACTGCCGCCATCGCCGCGGAGCTGGCTTCTGCCAGGTAAGCGGGACGGACGGTGGAGCGCCTGAGGCACTGGCCAGTTCTTGGGGAGGACTGATGGACTGGGGTTCTGCGGGAGGGACAGAACGGTGGGGAAGCGAACTTGCCTCCCTGTGAGCAACTGTCGATGTTTGAGGAGGTCTGGACACTAGAGGAATTACTCTCTTGCTAAGTACCTCGCGCGCTAGCAGTAACGGCGGTCGGCTGGCGCCCCCTGCCCCGCTTTTCGCGGCCGCCATCTTGCCGGGGGCAGTGGCGGCTGTCTCCATCGCCTGCCCCTCTCCTTCCTCCGCCGGCCCGGGGCTGTTGGCGGGTAGGAGGGGCCCCGGCTCGCAGGTCTGCCACCATATCTCTACAGTCCCCACACTCCTGGCGTACCCCTCTGGTAAAGTCTCCAGATAACCTGGGAATACAAGCAATAGGTTTGGCGCCAAAATGAAAAAAATCTCCACGAGGAGGGAGGGTGGACCCAAGGGTTCAGGTGGGCGGGGCCTTGCGGAAGGCGGGGCTTTCTGCGCGCGGGTTCCCCTCCGCGGACTCCGTGCTGGGGGCGGGGCCCTGAGGAGGCGGGAAAACTCCATTGTTTAGTGCGGGGGGCTCAAGCTAGAAGTTAGATCCTTTGACTTCTGTGTTGGGGCTCAGAGAAGTCTACTCTTTTGCTTCCTCGTTAACCTTATGTGCTCGGGAAATGGTTATTGTATCATCAGTCCTCAGCTCCGGTCTGTGGAGGAAGGATCGTAGATTTTTAGAACTTGAAGGCGTTTCCAGGGAACATTATCAGGATGCAGAGCTTCTTCACTCTCGCTGCGTGGTACTCTCCTCACTTCCCAGGAACTTGGTTGTTAGGGAATCGGCCGTAGCATGCAGGAAGTGTAAGACTGGAGTAGGTATGATTGTTTAGATAGCGGCACAGATTTACTCCGGCATAATCTATTTTTTGAATAGTGGAGGGAAACCCATCAGTTGAAAGAAAGAAATGTTTCCTTCATACAGTAGATTTTTGTTTCCCGCAAACTCAAACTCCTGGGTTCAAGCAGTCCCCCTGCCTCAGCCACCGTAGAAGCTGGAACTCCAGGTGTGGGTACAACGCCCAGCTAATTTTTCTATCTTTAGTAGAGACGGTATCTCATTTTTGTTCAGGGCGCTCTCCAACTACCGAGCTCCAGGAATCCTCCCTTGGTCTCCAGAGTGCTAGGATACAGGCACGAGTCACTGTGCCCGTCCCTGTTTAGATA